TAGTGGTTGCTACCAATTGAGTCCTCTTTGAGCCTGTAGAACCACTTATTGTGCAATGCTTTTTTATCATATGGTAGTACCGTTAAATATCAAGTCTGATTTGACGCCAAAGATTGCATTTCTTCATCCATGGTACACTCCCATTCCCTTGAAAATTCAACTCGAGTGGTCTCCTCAAAGCATTATGATTCACCACTATCAATTAATCACAAATAGTACAATGAAGAAGAATACCTGTGTACGGGTCGTATAACTCTGTTGGATCTCACTTCAGTAGCAGGTGACTGAGAAACTTCCAGTGCTCCTTCTGGTTGAGCATTTCTTCTTTCTTAATCATCTTGGTCACCATTGTCTTCAATCTCAACATACTTGGATTATTCAGAAGTAGTTGACAGGTTGTCCTAAGTTCTGACCCAGTCCTTGTATGCCTCCTCAAATGGCTTAAACATTAGTGATCCCCTGCTGTTGCATGTATTATGGACCTAAGAGATCTCATAAGCCCGTTATAAAAGGTTTGAATTATGAATCAATCGAGTAAGGCCTAGTGGTTATATTTCTCAAATAGCTCCTTATATTTTTCTCAAACTTCATAAATTAATTCTCCATCTAGTTGAGTCAAGGAAGTGATAATTTATAAATTTAGAGTTTTAGATAGAGAGAAATATTTCGATAGAAATTTTTGGGCAAGTTCGTTTCATGTGATATAGGACCCTGATGTTAAGGAATTAAACCACACCTTAGACTTATCACTAAGTAAAAAAGAGAAGTCTGAGCCTAACAAAATCATTGAAGACATCGTTATAGCGAAATGTAGCACATAGTTCTAGAAAAATTGCTAAGTGGAGGTTAGGATATTTTGGGGGTAATCTCCGAAACTAGTTATTTTGTATCATGTAAATAATTATAGGTTTTAGTTCGAAAGAATTGGCTTCTTCGATCGGGGTGATAATACTTAAGTGAATTTCTTCTACCGAGAGGTTAACAAATTTCCTAAGCAGTCTAAGTATAACATGGGGTCTTGGTGTGTTGGGTTCTTCCTGAGGTATGTTTGTCATTTCTAAATTTGTCTTTTTAATTTTTTCATTTTTTTACAGTTCTTATAGTTCAAGATTGTAAAGTACTAGTTTCAAAATTTCAATTCTACGCATACACAATTAGGACAATTAGTTCAGTGCCCTTAAACTACAGATATACAAGTCAAACAAACAAATTATTAAAAACAAGAAAACTAAGCAGATATACGTACTGAAATCAAAAAGCAATCACACAGTTTTCATAGTAATTGAAATGCAATAAAGGCAGGCGGAAAAAATTAATAGTAAAACAAGAAGCACACCATAAATGATATTTTAGATTTTTTTTAAAATACAGGAAATAAAAACTAAATAGCCGTAATTGCACAAGGCTACAGTTTTGAAGTCTAAATTTTAATGATTCAACTAAAATTTTTCTAAAGTTGAAAATTCAGCGTCGTTAACCCGGGCAACGACACCCAAAAATTGATACAGACCAAGCGTTGTGAAATACTGGTGAATCACACAAGCATACATGTTCAAGTAGTATAAGGAACAAAGTTTATCTATCAATCCCACAAGGAATAAGTGAACCTCCAAACATGAAAAGTTTATAGCCTATTGGTTTTGAACGTAGCCTGAAGTTTCAATTGTTGATGATTTTGTGAAAGTTTTAAACTTAATTTTGGAAAAACAAAAATCCTAGCTTAAAGTTGTGAGGTGACTATAGCAATTGAAGGTTTCTCCCCTGATTTGAATCCTAAAAACTTAGGGATGATAATTTGACACAAATATTGGTGACTATCAAGAGTAAATCTCTTTCTTAGCCTCTCCCGGTGGTAATAAGTAAGCTAGGATAGTCAACCAATTTAGTTTTCAAAATTTGGTGAAATCTTCAATATTAAATGTTTCCACAAATGATGTCACCAAACTACGAGCAATATTCTTATGCTAATAGTCTAATGAACTTTATCGATGTTCCCTTATGAATTCTTCTGAATCTCGAAGTTCACAAAGTGATTTAACCATTCAATTGACCAGATTGAATATAAGTGAAGTTTTTGAAGGATAAAATTTTACCATAGCAATAATTCCTACAAGTCAACACACATCATCAAACCATAAATTTCTATTAATTAAATTTGGAGAAAAAAAAAGATTTAGTGACTATTCATACCTTGAAACAACAAAATAAACATTTTATTCATTCAAAGCAATAAAATAAACAAATAATTTCAGAAAGAAAAATGAAAATTTACACCTTGAACTTGTGTTCTCTGCTCTCCACTTACGATCACTAATCACTAAGCCTCCGTTAGTAAATCCTCTAAAATGCTGCTCTGATCAGCCACTTCCAAAGCCCTCATAAGTCTCATACAAATTTGCTCTCCCACCCTCATAGTCAAATGTTGAGAACCAGAAAGGAACAAGACTCTAACTGTGCTAGAGCCCTCCAAAGATGACTAGCCTCCCTCTCTGTAGCCCCAGAGGCCGAAACCATGAGTCGCCACCGAAGCTGAACTACCTAAACTCCTCTGAGTCGGTTCGTTAGCGTCGAAGTTTCTATTTGGAGCATTGGAGTGCTTCTTCCTCAGTAAGAAGTTGTGCTAAGGTTCAGTGGATGGCATCCTGTCAACTATTGAAATGACATCGAGGTGTTGGAGGCGCCCCGACGCCCGATTAATGGTAGGAGGCGCCTATGCGCCTGATTTCTGGGGCTAAGGCGCCAATGTTTGATCATGTTGGAGATCCTAGACGCCCCATACCCAATACCTATGTGTCAGGCTCTCTGTCGTTCTGACGCATGGGTGGCGCCTAAGCGCCCAAAAGCTGGGGCCTACTTGCCACTCTAGGCTATGAAGGCTCTATTTCTTGGTGGCTCCATTTGGATGCATGTTTGACCTAGGTTCCTTCAACTTCACCCCTATAGCTGCTAAGGCCTTTGTAAAAATTTCATAAGTACTTATATCCAACAATTTGCATAAAAATATTTGGAAAAACATAAATAGGAACAAATAATATTTTCATTACCTAATTCACATATATCAAGCATCACCCGGCAGTTGCTGGCCATCGATATATAAAGCTCATCTTCCTCATCCCTCGATATCCCATATTGTTAAAAGAATGATCGAGTCAACTATCAATTATCGCTCACCTGTTGCAAACATTTTTCATCAACTTTGCCTAAAACCTATCATCAACCAACAATCAATATTTACATCTAACTTCTGAAGCTAATCTTCCTGATTATGTAGTCTACTCTCCTATCAAGAGAACGAACAAGATGACTGCTTTCTGTCGAACTTTCTCTGTTGTCCATCAACATCACTTGACTTCCGATGTTCCCTATCAACTATCAACTATCAACTATCAACCAAGACTACCGGCCATTGATGATCAAAGTTCATCTTCTTGATCTCGAGATATCATAATCTTATAGAGGGAATATTCGAGTCAACCATCCATCATATCTTCAATTCAAATACATTCCATTGACAATTGTCATATACCTTCTATCGGCCAACATTCAATATTCTTCAGTCACTAATCTCTAATGCTCCATCTTCCCTATTACTTCATCTTCTCTTAGGAAAACGACCAAATCAATCATATGCTTCACTTGGCTTCTCCTACATCTGTCAATGAAAAATATCAGACATTTGTCACTCAAAATCCCCTCCTATTCCAGTTAACAGCCTTATATCCCTGATTTCCTACTTCTAACATCAACTGCTGCCCAACACTCATCACCCAATAAAAATCTGACATTTCAGTACTCTTAATACCAATATAGAAGATCTATATCTTCTAAAATTCATATTTATAACAATATATTAATATATTATCAAGTTATAGGAAGAGCTCCATATAATCTTTGACTAGCACTTATTTCAACTAGTCTAGGCCCCATAATTTTTCCTCCATAAATTTTCCACACAAAAACTATTTATATCCCGTATGTTGTTCTCAACTTACCTATATGTATGGTTATGGTTTTCTCACTTGCATAACTGGAGTTGTGCCAAATGACATTTAGTAAATAAGTCCTTTTGAAATTAAGGTTCATCTAACAATAAGTTTTGACTTGGTTTGGAACTGATTTATCAAATTCATCAGCATGCAGTCAAAGGCATCCGAAATCCAACCCTGAATCTGAACGCACTTATTTCCCCTTTCCCTTTCTCATTTCTTCTGTTTCTCTCCATAAATTCTGTAATCCACACGTCAAGCATGCAATATTCAACCACCAATATTTTTCTATCCATTTGACAATAATGTCCATTCCATTACCCCTTCAAATGCCAGCTGTTGCTGACTTTGGCTTATCAGAAACTCAAAAACACGTGTCATTTCATATGCCTTTCACATGCTCAGTTACATCTTTGTGGATTTACCAAGCTACTTTTAATTAATGACCAAGCAAACAATGTGACAAGTGGCACCACTTCAGAAAAATATATATATATAACCCAAACATAAATCATGAAAAAAAGGAATAATTACATACATACCATTCAAAGCATTCCTATTTACAAATCCATCACCCATTTACCTCCATTTTTTCAAATTCTCACTCAAATTTTAAATTTCATGATAAAACCTCAACCTATATTTTTCGTTTTTAGTTAACTCTCAATGGTTTGATGGCACGCATAAATGCATCAATTCAGTATTTTAGAAAATCAACAGGGTGCTAGTTTTATAATTAACAATATTTTAAGTGTTGTGTATGTAATTATCCTAAAAATAAAAGCTGCCAACAAAAATTTTAATTTTTATGTCCATAAAAAAAGAAAAAAATAAAAAAATAATTCATTCCTATGTTGCATTCATGCTAACTTAATATATAACTTATCAAAACTTATTTTAGCCTATAATGGACCAATATAACATGATTCCAAAAATAAAATTCAACAGATAAACAAGTAGCTTAGGTCTAAGAGTATCTCTCTCTCTCTCTCTAACGAATAATCTGAACAATACCTGTTTCTTGTGGCGTATCTGAAGTCCAGAGAGTGAGATTATCCTTCAGAAGCTGCATAATTAGCGTGCTGTCTTCGTAGGAGTCCGGGCTGAGTGTATTGAGCTCAGTGATTGCTTCATCAAATGCTTGTTTGGCAAGATGAAAAGCCCTGAGAAATGAGAAAGAAACACATTTAGTTGTCAAATAGTCGAAAACATTTGTTACACTATAATAAATTAAAGGAAAAGTGGGGGTGGGGGAGCATAAACTATACTTAAGAAATAAAGAAATTGCTAACCTTTCTGGTGAATTCAGTATCTCATAATAGAAAACAGAGAAGTTAAGGGCAAGACCAAGCCTTATCGAATGAGTCGGGGGCAGATCCATCATTGATGTACTAGTAGCAGCCTGCATTTCAGTAAGACTGTTTTGATTCTAGGAATTTGTGTGAAAGAAAATAAAAAATATATAAAAATAAAAAACTGCAAAGCTTATATCAATAATTGCAGAGTTATAATCAATCCATCAATTGTTGGGATTTCGTTTCAAATCCTCCACAGTCCTTCAATCAAAACAAGTCTAGAGGTTTCCATAAATTTTTTTTTTTTTATATAATCTTTAGAAGGAAAGCATGGATAAGCAAACCTGGTAGGCTTTTAGTGACTGATCAGCAGCTTCTCTTCTTTCATTGTTAGTCTTGAACTCTGCCAAGTATCGATAATAATCCCCCTTCCTAGTTACAAATAAGACAAAAAATAGTGCTGTTGGGTTTAAAACCACTGCATATAGAAATTATTGATTTATGAAGGAAGAACTTATGCTGTTTCATTTAAAAAACATATCAGCATATAGAGGTGGCGTCAAATTTCTAATAAAAATTTACTTTAGCTTGAAGTCCATAAACAAGTATCAGCTCAAGTTACCTAAGAAGAATTATCTGCAACTTCGTAGGGAAAAGAATCATAGAAAATAATCGTACATCTTATAAAAGAAGACAATGGATTCACTGGAGATGGAAGAAGGAAGGAGATGAATGGCTATGGTGGACAAAATCTCATTGCAGACCTTCGCCACTTCATCCTCCACCCTTTTCATGTAGCTCTTTATCCTCCTAACATTACGCTCATTTCCCTTGGCTTCCTCATTTTGCTCTATAGAAGAGAGAATCCTCCACGAGGATCTCTTAGCTCCAATCACATTCTTGTACCCAACTGAGAGCAAATTCCGCTCCTCTGCCGTCAGCTCCACATCTAATCTAGCTACTTTCTTCATCGCTTCCACCATTTCTGCAACATGAGGACAACAACAACAATACCTTATTTAATTCTACTGCCAAACTTCATGTATACTAATTAATCAACAATTTCAACAACCCACTAAAGGGAAAACAAATTAAGTCGGAAAGTGTTTATGAAAGAGCTTACAAAAATTGCAGCAATTTATCATAAAAAGTATCCAAAGGAAGAATATTTGAAGTTAAAAATTGCATTTTTTTTCCACCTGCTACAAATTACTTGCCGAAAGGCATGCTTCGCTCAAATAAAAATAATATTTTCAAAAAAAACCATATGGTGAAGAACCAAAATACAAACTTCAGATATTCAAAGAAATTTGAAAAGCAGGATTTAAACTTTTATGCTCACCAAAATATATATTTATTTCGAGCCATTGCCCTCAAAATTTCCGAAAAAATAATTTTTTGCTCACCATCATATCTCTCTGCTTGTTCGGCGAGCTTCGCCATGTATACTTGCTTCTCTCTCTCGTCCATCTCATCATCCATATCCCCTCACTCCCCTGTTACTTCCACCAATTCCACCTGTATGTGAAATAGGGTTCCTGTGAAGATCCCCAGTTGCATTTGTCCTCCCACTGTTTCTTCTTTCTGCTTTGGTTCATTGCTTTTTAGGGAGCAATTACATACATACCACCCAACTCTTATTTATTTACATATCTGACACCTAATTTGAGAGAGATTAATTCCGGCCAAATCTTCAATATAATTTAAAAAAATATCACCATTTAAATTTTTTAAAACTAGAATACAACTTATCGTGCATGAATTAGATGGTATGTGTGCAACAATTAAAATTTAAGTATTTAGATAATTTACTAAACAGAAAATAAGTGGTATGCATGTAAATCTTCCTCGATCTTTTTCGTCCCGCAGGCTCGGTTTAAAACAACTTCCGTCGAAAGTTTTAAAGAGACCAGGAAATAGGACCTTATAAAATGACTGCCAGAGGTTTCTGGGGAAATTTGGGTGGCATCGGCCTTCGGCAACTAAGAAAAGGCCAGAATTAATAGACGGGAGAGGTGGACGGGATCCGTGTTCGGGTGTAGAGAAAGTTGATCCGACGGCTCAGATGGGCCAGATGCGACGCATTGGATCCTGCTTGAGCCAGGTGGCGCCCCATCCTTCTGAGCCCATAAATTAGGAAATTAAATTCTGATTAACAGATCAGATTTTATCTAATTCAAAGTTGATCTACTTATTAATTTTGACCGTGATCTGACTAGTTATGTAAAATTAAAATAATTAACCAGAGCTGGATTAGACCTTAATCTGAATTTGATTTTGTCGTAGCCCAATAACTCACAAGTTTAGGGTCTATTTGGGCTGCAGCTTATCCAGTTTATCCTGATAATATGGTGATAAACAGCTGATCCGAATAATTTGTCTGTTTGTTTGGTTTGTGTTTATTGAGAACAGCTGATTCTGAAAAAATGACCAAACTACCCCTATTATGAATAAGCTAGAACTGTTTGTTTTGTGCTTTTTGGAGACAGCTTATTTGAAATTTTTTTAACAAAATTACTAACACTCAACGCAATCATAAAAAAGAAAATGAGAAGATTGAAAAATATATGTGAAAATACAAAATATTATATCACTTAAATATTTCAAATCACATCAGAGATACAGAATTACCAAAACAAGTGTGAAATACACCATAACGCATTAGTACATATTATAATGAGACCCAACAAAGAAGAAAAAATAACATGGCAAAATCACAAGGAAAAAAAATAATAATATTGACTTTTACATGTAGTAGCATATCACGTCCCACTGTGCTCGGCTCTGACACTCCAGAACCCTGAGCAAACCTGTCTAACTGGGATACAGTAGAAACAGAAGCAGTCGAAGCAAATGTGGTGTTCTGAAATGTTGATATCGACGAACTCCGTGTCGGGGTGTCCATCTGGGATATCATAGAAACAGACTCTCTGTCGGCCCACCTGAAGAATTTGCAGTTCTCATGTCGTTGTGCCCTCTGCATGCACCTGTAAAATTATCTCCCGAAGCTATGTGTCTGGCGTGACGTGAGTAACAAGGACGGTAGCCCGCACCGACACATCACTTTCTTGGACTTCCCATAATATCTTCCCACTTGTTTTTGAATTTTAACCTATCGTACTCACGACCTGTCATTTCCTTAAACTTATTGGAAATATTTTGTCACCCTTATTTGTTAAAATAGGTGGTAAGTCAATTTCAACCTCCTTAATATATAAATTGCAAAAAATGGTTGTGACATCTTCATCCTAGATAGTTGAAATAGAGGCTTCTTTGTTCTTAGCCATAATGATACTATTAAGAAAATGATTCAATTTTTCAGGAATGCTATAAAAAATCAAGAAATATTGAGAATATTGTAAATAATAAGAAATGGAGAATGTTATAAAAGCTAACATTTAATTAACTAAAATATTTAAAATAATTTAAGTGCCACCCCATGTAACAAAATAGGATTTGGGTGGTAAAGATAAATAAAATGTAACACCTAGATGATTACATAAAACTTAACAAAGTTTAGGTATTAGATATGTAAGTACATGGGGTACTGAGTGGAACACATGCAAAATCTTGCGGTGAACTGTTCAGATACAACAACAAATCCCATGACTTTTAGCATGCAATGAATTGCAGACTCACGACAATACAATATCTGAGATTGCAATAAAATAGACTCAATAAAATTTCAAATTCCATGCCTTTTAGCTGGCAGGCACTGTATGGAGTAATAAAAATGTTCGTTCATTTATAAAATGAAGTGAACTTCATGCTAAAAATCTCATTTAATGTTTCAGCTTGCATTTAACTCCTATCACATGAGCAACTCTTAAAACTCCTAATACTAAAAATAAGAGACTCAACAAATAAGTAGATGTTTCAACAAGAAATAAGAAATTTCTCTTCAAAACAAGTGCTTCTTGAAACTGGGAGAAATAACATATTTCAAACTGGCTTATTTAAGTGGGTTGTTCATGCGTCACCAATTTATGTGCGAATATATGGAAAGGATATCAATTTCCAAGAGATGATACAGTTGTTCTAAAATAGAAGTACACAAATACAAAGAGCAAGCATTCAACTATAAACATTTCGGGCATCCCTCAAAACCCTTCAACAGAACACGCAACACTAGGATAGACTCTTGCCTCATTGAAAGAGCTGCCTTAGATGGAATGCTCAAAACAAGATATTTTCTACAATAATAACATCTCATTTCTACTATAGAAAGTGTAATAACAATCCTAAATCAAAATCTCATTTCTACCACTTCTATTTTTTCTACCATTAAACTGTAAAAGAAAGTATGACATTTTTCTTTTATTATTCTTGATGATAACAATTTTTCTATCATAGATAATATCAGATCCATAACCACACACATTGAATCGATCCATCTCATACAAAAATTTTTTTTTCCAATCCATTGGGCTACTGCGCATACGAAGAACAAGGAAACCAGATCCATTTGCAAAGATTCCTAGAATGGCTTAAAATAAATATAAGGAGAAGGAAATAACCGCTAAAGATGAACAAAATATGTGGTGTTGTCTACCATTCTCCATAGACATCGAAAAATAAAAGGAAGGAGATTTGGAGGACATATGATGGATACCTTCAAGGAGGACGAGGCGAGAGAAACGACGAGGCTAGAGGAGCGACGGGATACCTACTTTCGGCGAGACAGGCAACGAAGGAAATTAGGGCTTTCAGCGAGACTCCTCGAGCGAAAGGCAGGGGCCCGAGTGTCTTTCTCAGGGATGAAACGCAGATCACGGGTAGGACCCCGTGATCCGCTTGTAATATTAATACCAAAACTCCTTTTTCCAAAACGCAGAGTAAACATTTTCACCAAATGCGGGGTAGTGTTTTGAAATCGCCCCGCAGCAAATAATCTGCCCCAAACGGGGCCTTAGTTAAACTTGCTAAAACATAAACCCATATGTATCTTGGAAAAGAGATTGCTGGGAAAAAAATATTTATAAAAATGGGACTCAAGAATAGAGTTAAAGTTTGTCTAAAAGTGCAATGGATTAGAGCAAAATTTGTGAAACAATATGATCAAAGGCAATATAATAAAAAAAAATACAAACACAAATGAAATGAGACATTTCAACAAATCAATATTCAAATCCACAGTAACAAAGTTTTGTAGATTAAGGGAAAAAAAAAAAGATTCTTAACCTCAACAAATTAAATGCCCTTGAATTTTATCTTCTTGAAAGCTATTTAACTTTTTACCTCTACAAAAATCTTAATTCTCGTAGTAGATTTAGAAATAAAGACAATCATTCCTAACATGCCAAATGAGAAACTAACGTATTGATAATATGTTGGGCATTCTTTTTGCAATTAGCGTAAATTAGAATCAAGATAAACAAGAATGTTATTAGGTAACACTTTTTAATATTAAATACAAAGAGAAGAAATCAAACTATTGATCTTTCACCCAAAATTTATTTTTTTATCGTCAACTGCACGATATATACTGTCAAAGCAGACAAAAAGTGTCTTATAGAATAGCTTTTGAATAAAAAACCGTGCTGTCAATTTACAACACAAAACTTATCGAAGATGACAGTTTTAGTTCTATTGTATGAAAAAATATATACTCTTAGTTTAACATAATTGAGTCATTCCTAGTAGAAATTGTAACATTATAAAAAAAAACATTAAAATAGTTAGAATTGAAAGATTTTGAAAAGCAACCAAATCCTATCAAGGATGATTATGTTGATATAACTTATCATATCATTAAATGAAAATTTATAGTATTATATAATATTATTATTTTTTTTATAAAAGAATAACAAAGTTCAAAATTTATTTTGAAGAGCAACACTTATACTAATAAAAAAAAAACAGAGACATGAAATTGCCATCATCAAAAGAAAACAATACTCTCATATGAATAGACACCAATTTAATCTTTTTTCAAAGCTTTGAAACCTTGTCAATTCTATTTTACCAAATAAGATTATGGGATCCCACAAGCCATATAGAGAGAGGCTGAAATGGTTGAGAAATCTCCAAAATAATTTCTTCTTGTAAATATAATTAAGACTTAAAATAGAAGTTAAACTAGTTCTCATTTTATCTTTGGGATGAGTGGTTTGGTTTTAGAAAATCAAATAAAAGTTCATAAAATTGCTTCCATTAAAAGAGGAAATAACAAGTAAAAGTAATTGTTTTTAAAATGCATTAAATGTTTTGAATTAATCTAAACAAATAAAACTAGTTTTTAATTGAGGAATGATTGTCATCCTTACAACTTATCAAACATACAAAGGTGGACTTAAACTTGAATCCAAATAGTAGTTAAAGGGATTGCCAAAATTGTAAGAAAAAAATTGTCCATATTGAATCTTAACACCTTGGTACCAAACTAATAAGTGTTGAATCCTACTATGTCTGTAGGATATCACCAGAGCTAAAATATTTGAGAGTTGAGAACTAGAGAGAGAGAGAAGATGGAGGGAAAACCTTTTGCGTTTAGAGTTGATGTATGTCATACAATTGATTAAAAATAATAGAGAAATATATTAGGTATGAAATTTTAATACCCAAGTGGTTTCATTGGGAAAATATCTCCTATCAGATTTGAAATTTTAATA